GTTTTTTGCGAATCGTATCTTAATATTCTAAGAAATAATTTGAATTTTGCCTCAAAGATACTTTTCACAGATGAAGCAACTTTTCAAAGACATGGTTTAACCAATATGCACAATCTTCATTCCTGGGCTCATGAAAATCCTCACGAAGTATCTATGACAACATTTCAACATAATTTTAGTTTAAACATTTGGGCAGGAATTGTAGAAAATGTGCTTGTCGGCCCTTTTGTTTTACCTCATCGACTTGGTGCTGTTGAATATTTGCAGTTCTTAAATGAGCATCTACCACCACTTCTGGAGGAAGTACCATTAAATGTACGTCAGGCCATGTGGTACATGCATGACGGGGCTCCTGCTCACAGCACTGTAGTAGTTAGGCGGTGGCTTAATTTAAATTACCCGAATCGTTGGATAGGTCGCGGCAATGAGGCACCTATCTCTTGGCCTGCACGTTCTCCCGATCTAACGCCCATGGATTTTTTCTTTTGGGGACATATAAAAAGTATTGTTTATGCGACCCCAGTTGACAGTGTTGAAGAGCTACAGGAAAGAATATTCGCGGCGGCTGATGAGATTCGCAACAATCCCATAATTTTTGCTCGAGTCCGTAACAACTTTGATAAACGTGTTAGGTTGTGTTTAGAAAGAAATGGCAATTATTTTGAAAATGTCCTTTAACTAAGTTTTTTGTTTTTTCTCTTTTTGATAATAAATTATTTCTTAGTTTCGTTTTCATTGTACTTCTATTTAATAAAAGTTTCTGCGACATTCAAACAGTTATTTGTGCAACTACTGTAAAGAGTGTGTATTTGTTGTACGATGCATGAAGTTTGCAGCTCGAGACGAAGTTGAGAGCTGCAATCATGTTAAGTGCAACAAATATGCTTTTTGCACATGTTGCACGCAACATTTTTTCTACGATTGTTTTTATTTCAAATTTTATTTAACAGTATTTTACATAATATTAAAATTTTAACTGACAACTGGAAATTAATTGCGCAAATTGTCAATGTCAGACGTTAGGTACTTATGGATATGCTTAGATTAAACTTGTAATCAATATTTTTTTTGTACTACTGTAAAAAAAGTTAAACTTTTGGCACAGTAGGTAGTGCAATAAGTAGTAAATTTTGCACGATCGTAGAAAAAAACACTTGTAGCATGTCCACATATTCATCATTAGTAAAATTTGGCATAATTCTTGTTAATTTACACCCAAAAAGTATTTAGCTGATAACAGTGACAACTTACAGAAGAGTTAATTGTGACAACTGGCATGACAGCAGCACACTTAGTTTTTCTTTGATTGATTGCAATCATATACGGTGTGAGGTGAATGGTAATACATTTTATTTTTTTATTAATAAACGAAAAGTTTTAAAGGAAAATTGCTAGAGAGGTAAAAGTTTCTAAAAGAACCAGTTTATCTAATGCGTATTTTTGGATATCGAGTTTTTACGAAATATAAAAGTTATGGCAAAAAATGGCTTGAGGGGTGGTTATTTCAACCCCTTTCGAGGGGTTAAAATTTTCGAAAAATAGTTGAAAACTCGCATCTGTATTAGTAAACAACCTGTAAAAAATTTGTTATTTGTACCTCGTTCGGTTGTCAAATTACAGCCAATTTTCATAATTTTTTTGGAAACTTTGATGGCCCATATTTCTTCAGGGGTGAACATTTTACTAAGGCGATTTTTTGCAGATCGTGTTCTTTTGAAATGTAGATTCACTGGTATCATTTATGCTACTCCATTCAAAAACACCCTGTAGAATATAATCCTTACATTTTGGCGATTTTTTTAAATTTTTTGAACCCAATGTTCCGTTTCGTCAGTTCCTATAATTTGAGTAGGTGATAACTTTCCAAATTTCTATATGACTAGATAAAAAATGTTCATCAATAGCTTGTTTTGTGTACAATGCTTGGGATGTAAGGGATGTCACAAATGAATACCTTCAGTTAATAACAGTCAATCAATATTGTCACCGTTTAACAACGCAAAAACTTAGTAATACATTCAAAATCCTGACTTTCAAGTATCTACCTAATATTTTGCGTGACCAACATTATCAACAGCAAGGTTAAGTATTAGAGATAAAAGAGTTCTATTCATTATTAGAAATAATTTGAAACATGAAGTATTTTTTATACTATACAATACAATCGATCCAAATTTCAAACGATGAGTCTTTGTCATTCATTATGCCTGCAATTTATTTAGTATTATATTCATCTTTTCGTTATACGTATTTACTTATAATTAAAGCATATTAGCTATATTAGCTTAAAGGTTTAAAGATAGAGAAATACAACACATTATTTGATGAAATGTAAGAATACGATAAGATATTTAAAATTTTCATACTTAACGATAAATAACTAATTGATTAAATGAGATTAAAATGTCGGAAATTATTTATGTTGGATATTTAATCAATCAAATTTTACTATAGTTTTAGGGTTCATCAGTTATATTTACAAAATTATCAATAATATACCTATGAAAATACCTTTTTTAATTAAAATGATCCGTTTCCGAACTTAAAAAAAAATACGCCTTGTTCAAGATCAATTGCTTAACCTTCAACCACCCCCTTATCTTTTTTACTTCTCTATCTAGAAAAATATTTCAAAAAAATATATTGCATTTCGAAAATATAAACTAAACAATCGACACACCCTATACTTTTGTCTGTTTTTGAAATGTTCTCCTTCGCAATCGATCAGTTAATGTTCACGCCCGCCGGTGGTGAAATGGGTTTTATCCCTAATTGCCAGTTAATTTTTAAATCTGGGGCTAAATCGGGGGACTACCACGATGACATGAACTCGTAAAATTATGAGAATTGACTTAGAGAAGTCGATTCCAAATCTCCCCGAATTGTGTTCTAACTGATAAATACACCATATAATGTACAAGTACGGAAAGCACATCCTGCAACTCAAGGAAAATAGATATGGTAGAATGGTTAATAAGTAAAAATATATCTTTTTCTCTGAATTTGCTGAAGCCACAGCTATAAGGAATAATTAAACATAATAAAAAAAACACATTGTTTACAAAAAAATCGGTCATCTACTCCAAGAAAACAGGCACATGGCTTTGAGGGTACCACCCTACCACTCTGATTTAAATCCGACTGAAATGATATGAGCTCAAGTTAAAAACAACATATCAAAGAAAAATGCTTTAATTAAATTAGAAGGTCTGAAAACTCTGACAGAAGAAAAATTTTCATCAGTTACTCTCGAGGACTGGATAAAATATGTTAAAGTTGAATATATGTGGTTACTTGAAAAACGAGATTCGAGTTGATGTGGTAATAGAAGACTCGATTTTAACAACTTCTGATAGTAAATATTCTAGTGATGAAGATGATTTCGAAAATTTATCAGATTAGAGGCTATAGTACCAATCTGTTTATAATTATATAATCTTCTAGTTTATTTATGATTTGCACTCTGCTGTACTGTAAAAGAAATAAAACACATTTTAATCCAAAAAATCTACTTTATATACAGGGTGATTCACAAATGGTGACCAAAAATGAAACCTCGTTCACCTTCTTTGGTGAATTTTAAGTGCATTTCCTATAAAGTTTTTATCTAGGACGCTTCGTCAAAAAAATACAGGGTGTTAAACTCCAAAAAACATTTTTAATTTCTTTAAATTATTTAAAAACTAGTAACTGAAATAATTTGAAATTGGGCACATGTATTTATGGAAACATTGTTCAAAATCTGTGAGCTTTTCCTAAAATTTACATGCTCCAGTGGCGGAGATCGGTGGCATATTTTTCTTAATAAAATAGTACGCCACTGCTTTACGGTAACAACCATGATATTTTCGGATTTGTCTTTCAATTTTCTACAAATTACTACCCTCTTGTGTTTCTCGAAAAAAGCCTAATTTTCGAGTAAAACTTAAAAAACTAACTTCCATAGTCGAATACACTTAATTCATTTTAGAATTACATAGTGGGCTGCGATAGCAACTTTGATATTCTGAGCAGTTAGAAGAAATAATAAATAATGCTTTTTACCCGATTCAAGCAACAATAAATTTCGAACAAATTACATTTTCGTAACTAAAGAGATGTCGGGCGTGTGTTCGTGGAAATGGAGATATTTTTGAACATTTACTTAAATAAAATCATTAAAATGATGACTAGTGTTATTAATTTCTTTTAATAAAAGTGTTTTCAGTTTGTTTTTTATGTTATAATTTGTAAAAAATTGAAAGACAAATCCGAAAAAAAAGCCTCAGTTTTTGGACAATGTTTACATAAATACATGTGCCCAATTTCAAACTATTTCACTTAGTAGTTTTTAAATTATTTAAAAAAAATAGAAAACATTTTTTTAAGTTTAACACCCTATATCTTTTTAACGAAACGTCCTAGATAAAATCTTTATAGGAAACACTCCCCTTAAAATTCACCAAAGCAGTAAATTGTTACTGTAGTTTCGATAGCAGAACTTTATTGGCTTATTCTTTTCTTGGAATTCTATCTCAGCAAATATTTTATGGACTGTATATTTGCTTTGACAGTTTGTACAATATTTTGGTACATAGAGGGTCACTCTATAAAATAGGGCGTAATATGTTTGAAAACAATTTTCTGCTTGTGTATACCTACTTATATGAATTCTCCACCTGTTTTCAATATTTTCATCTCTTATTAATATATTTTAATAATATTTTTACTAAAAAATTTCTAAAATTATTGATACGAAAACTAAAATTCGATTTTTAAGAGTATTATTTTTGGATAATTATTACAGTTAATAGTACTACTTTTAAAAACACGACTCATTTTCAAATTGAGTGTTCGAAACCCGCATTAAGAAATACGTTTATGGAACATTTATTACAGGAAAATGTTCTGTGTTAACGAATAAGCTATAAAAATAGCAATAATGATAACTGCATTAATGGAATAATTCCTTTGAACCACTTGCTATTTATTAGAATTTAAATTTGCTTTATTTCTTTCAGAACTAGTGACATGGATACACATGTTGACGATGAGGCTTCAAAGGATCCAGCAGCTGAACATAAACATAAGTTACTACTAGACGAGAAAGATTTCGAAGGTAAGATTAGTTTATATTTTTAAATCCCAGCATGTGCTTGTGCCTGCTACCTCGAGTACAAATGTTATGTTATAGGTAGATAGCAAATTATATTAAGAATGCTAATTTAGTATGTTTTAATTACCTATTCGATTCAATTGTACAAAATTGTTATAAATATAATTTACGTCACATATAGTAGATATAGTAACTTGACTTCGAGTGGAATATTATTGAACGTTTTTTTTATTTTTCCAAAGCAAAGTATCAATACTATTCAATATCCACAGTTTGATTTTCTAGTGGAATTTTCCTATTATATTATTATTTGTCATCATTGAAGTTTCATTACCTATTTACTTTATTTATGTGGTACATGGTTGGCTGTAGGCCGAGTTCTCTTTTATGCATTTTTATTCAAACAAAAAACTGACAGCCGTTGCCTTCTGATAAATGCACTCTTTTATTATAAGAATATGCATATATGTAGGTATTTGCATAATAGTATGAAACAAAAAGAACCAGTGTCTATTTTTCTACACTAAACGCTTCACATGAAACTAACCATAAAATATATAGGTATAGTACGTAATAATAAGTACCAGCAAAAGTTATCAAAATAATAATTTCGAATTCATAGAAAAGTAATTGCAAAAAATTCTTAATTATTATAGTTGTCCTAAGTGTTTCGCGGTTAATAGTCCCCGGCCATCGGTAAATACCCATTTCAAGAACGAAAATGATCTTTCAACATTTACCGAGGTCACAGGCGCATGTCTAAAATAGTCGAAGTTTTGAATGGATGCTATTCCCACTAATGGCATCAACTACTTCACATTTTAGTAATCCCACTATCTACTTCATTATACAATAACATGTATATGTCTGCCTCCGATCTGAAGCTTCGCATCGATCAATTTATTCGATACGTACCTAGCAGTACCCTAATGCCTGCCCTGTCGACCTGGCGTGCTGGTGAGCAATACAGGTTTTCTGCTGAGGGACGTTGGCTGTGCATTTCGTTGTCGTTTGTGCATATGAGTGAGTTTGACGCTTTGCTTGGTCGAGTGTATAGCACGTGTTTCTATAGGAGTCAATAGCATTGTGTACTGTGAGCATACAGCGGCACACCTCCTACCACATGTTTATCCTATTTCTGCTACTACAACGCATATAGCCGCTTAGCATATTACAGGATACTACTGTCTATTTATTTGATTGTCACCCCAGAAAGTTCCCGATGTCTATGCTATACACACACACCCTCACTACCACAATCAATTAGTTCAATGTTTACAGGGTGAGTAATTAATAATAGTACTCAATGCTCAATGGCAAATTGTTAACCTCAAAATATAGTGGTTGAGCCAAATATGCCTTAATCAATTGTTGCTCCTTTTCGTTCTACAGGGTGTTAAAGTTGAAAAAATATTTTCGATTTTTTGCTATATTTTAAGTATGCACGAACCTATTATTTTAAAAATTTGTAGTTTTACCTTTTTTGAGGTGGCAAATACGAATATAATTAAAATATAATTTTCTAATTTAATTCCTGTCGAACCTCAAAAACTTAAAATGTCTGTATCTCGAAAACAGTTGAGTTTATCGATTTGTAACAAGTATACCTTTTTTATTCAGAATTGAACGTAGTTCAACAATTTCTAGTTAAAAATTTAAAATTGTAAAATATAAAAAGTTAGACATATTTTTACATTGATTGATGATCCATACATACTTAAAATACAGAAAAAAGAAAAGAAAATATTTTTTAAACTTTAACAATCGCTATATTTTGACGTTAACAATTTGCCAGTAAGCTGTGTACCATTATTAATGACTCACCCTGTATATCGGGTGTCCCGTAAATAATGGAGAACCTTTTAACCGTGGATAGGGAACCCTAAGGTCGTTTAGAAAAACGACTTTTGTCTTAGTACAAAGTCCCTTCGTTTTTTCAGTTATTTCGTTTTTTTTTTCGAAATTTCCGCCATAAGTTACTTTATTGGTAATTACGGCCACAAGGGAACGTATTATCTTTCAGTTATTATTTAATTTTATTTAAAAATTACAATAAATGTTCAAATTTCCCTGATGCAGACTCTTGCACCTTCTTATGAATTCCCTTCGGAGCTTTTGTTTGTATCTTCGCTGACTAATTTCACGAGCAGCTTCTTGGACGCGGTTCCGCAATTCTTGTATTATGTCGACTGGCCTGCTATAGATTTTTTTCTTTCATGCAGCCCCAGTAAAAAAAGTCTAGCCGATTTAAATCCGGCGACCGCGGAGGCCACGCAATCGAACCCATGCGACCAATCCAGCGTCCTGGATGTAACTGATTCAAACGCATTCGGACTGCAGCAGCATAGTGTGCAGGACAGCCATCATGATGCAACCACATAGTTCTTCTTAGCCTCAAATCTACGTCTTTTAATAAATTGGGGAGTTCATTTTGAAGGAATTCCAAATAACTTTCACCGTTTAAGTTCCCTGGAATTTCAACTGGACCGATAATTTTTCCATTTAAAATTCCCCTCCAATAATTGATTTTAAATTGATATTATGATCGATCTTCCCGCATTAAATACGGATTTTCTATCGACAAGCTGTGTAGGTTGTGAATATTCAGAAAGACATCTTTTAGGTAAGTTGATTCATCACTCCTCAGGATCTTGTTGAAAAAATCTGGATCTTCATTTATTTCTCTCAGCATCCGAGTTGCAAAAAGCAACTCTTGTAGGGTAGTTTCTAGCCTCTAGCCTAGCCTTTGCACACGCGTTACGTGGAATGGATGTAACTGATGTTTTTTCAAGATTTTGTGAACAGTTCCGATGCGTCTTGCAATAGATCGCACAGAGGTCGATGAATCTGCCCCAATTTCTTCGAGCACGACTTCATCATCATAGTGTTGTAGTTCGCTTACATTACGACCAGGAATTTTTCCTTCACAGTAAGAATTATGTGCTCCAATAAAAAACGCGATAATCAGGATGGCGTGCGTTTGGATATCTTTCTTGATAAAGTGCAACGGTTGCATTTGCGTTACCCCTACATTCACAATAAATAAAATGCATGTTGGCATACTCACAGGCATGGTAATGTATTCGAGGCATTGCAACATTACCTTAAATGTTCTAAGAATATTACAATATTGATAAACACAAATCAATCCAGGGAAGCGCCAAATGGTCGTAAACAGGCCCAAACACAGCTGAAATACGCCTAGAACAACCTCGTGGAATCAGAATTATGAAATACTCTTAAATACTCTATATTTTAGTTAAGTAAGGAATTTTTGGGGATTAATAATATATATAATTGAATAATAATCTAAGATATTCTTTTCTTTTTCGCGTGTTTTAAAGGGTTCTCTATAAAAATAATATATAGCGTGCCTACAAAAAAATTAGCCATACTTCACGGGTAGATTCTTTGAATGAAAATAAAACAATTTAGAAAAAAAGTATTATATCTCAAGTTGGAAATACTATATTTCCTACTCTTATAGTCAATTCAAATGAACTATTATACAGAAAATTATTATTAATTATTTTTTAGATATTTCCATATAGCAACACATGTAGTATACAGGGTGTTTCAGTTCGAGTGAATCAAACTTTCGAATTATGTATTAACTTATAATTCAAAACAATATTAAATAATATGTCTCTACATCGGCGAAACGACTGGTAAATTCTAAATATAATCCCTTGTTTTTTATTTATTGCATTCGTAATGTGATGAATTCCGAGGGTGAATTCCCTCTGTTAGCTAATTTTTTTGTTGCGCTTCAGTGCGGTGGACAGCATATTCAATGGCACCTCCTTAGACATAATATTGCTTCGAATTCTAAGTTAATGCGTGACATTATATTAATATTAATTTAAAATTTATTTCCTATCCTTAAGAAACTAATTTTCTTATCAGAAGAACGGTCTCCCATTCAACTGAGATTTTCACTAAAACGATACACTATACCGATGTTCAACAAGTATACCTTTTTTATGTAGAATTGTCCACGGAATCTAAATGATCATTATGTCATTGACGTAGAAGTTGGGGTAAAAAAATTCCGGTTTACTACCAATTCCTACGCCACTGACCTACAAAAATTTGTAAATTTTACAGTAAATTATGCACATATGTAAATGTTAACACTACGCCAAATTTGAATCAATTTTTTATAAGCGTACCAAAGATTTCATAAATAATATTATTTTAAAAACCGACCGTTTTGGTCGACCCTGAATAGAAATAACGGTGAGACCTAAACCCTTGCTTTATAATGCAATTCTGAATTGATTGAAACTTTGATTCACTCGAACTGATGTTCACTCAATTTTATTTAAACATAATTAGTTTAGCGGTTTAATTAAGGAAATCAAATTGGGAATTTTTATTTTAAAACGCAAAAATAGAAGGAAAAAGTGCGATGTGTAATGGAAAAATTAAGAACGAAAGAATGTCATTTTTGTATCGACTAAGCCAAGATAAAATCCTTATTTTGGCATATATGAGTAGAAAATAATCTTTTAATTCATTTTTTTTAAGATAACTTCCTTCATTACTTCTCAGAATACCACTAAAAGTATCACTTATTTTTTGCCATATTTTCTTTTGCCGGTAGAAATTTTAAAATATGGTAAACGACTCGTTCACGCGCTATTATAAGAAACTTTGGGTCATGCCATCAAATTTTGACTGAAATATNTCCAGGTAAGCTTATTATCCAGTATCACTCCTAGATATTTTACTTCCCTGGAAAGTGTAATGCTCCTCTCTCCTATTATAGGTTCAGAGAGTCCAGTTAAATTCCTTGTCCTGGTGAAGGGTACTACGACCGTTCTGTCAGGGTTTACTGACAGTGCCTGCCCCTTACATCAGTCATCTATCCATTTCAAAGCCACTTTCATGAGTTCTGAAACGATAATATTATGTTTCCCGAGTATGAGAACGACTAAGTCGTCCGCATAGCCTTGTGTATAAAATCCCTTTCGATTAAGGCCCTCTAGTGCGCCGTCCAC